GGAAGCACCAGAAGGGAAGCTGCTGACCGAGCAGCGAGCTATGAAAGTACTGTGCAGAATCACTCAGGGACCGGGGCTCAGGAGAGGCTCCCTGGAAAAAGTAACGAAACCCTGGGCGCCAGCGGTGGTCTCGTCTGTTTTTTTGGTCAGGACAAACCAGCTTCGTCGAGAAAACCAGTGCCGTACATGGGCGCGGGTAGTCTGAGCTTTCTGTCAGCCCACCCACAAACGAAATTTTGGAAGTGCTAGTCGTGATTCATGATCGAGCAGCAGATTTCCTGCACAGCGGCCTCTGCCGCAAGCATCATTCTCTGCTGCGTTGGGCAATCGTAGATACGCTCTAGCGTCTGTACACTGGTGCCGCTTATCGCAGACACGACTTTAGAAGACACGGACAATTGTTTGAGCCAGGTGACAGCGCTGCGCTTGCACGTGTGGCTGCCAACTTTGCTTAAGTCTACACCCTTCCATACATCGGCGTCAACATGATGCTTCTTCCGCTGTGTGCTGAGATGGTCAGCCACTTGACGTAGTCGGTACAAGTAGGCTCTCCTGGTCACAGGTCTGTTGGCTGTTGTCTTGCGGTCGCCCTTCGCATTGTGCATGCCCGGAAAGATGAAGTCTTCTCCTTGCAGCTGTCCTGCTGCAGGCCACTGTGAACCACCATGCCCTCGAAGACCGTCACCGAGCAGCCAGCTAGCAAGGAGCTTGCCTGCTGAAGGGGCCAGTCTGACACATCGAGGCATAGTCTTGCCATTGACCCTGGGCACCTGCACTGAAACAGGAGCGCCGCTTTCTGCGTCCGCCAAACCATGGAACCAGGACACGCGCGCATTGAGTACGCATGTCGCCCGTTCCACCAGGCACACTTGCAACAACATGGCTGCAGCTACCCATGGGCACTGCAGCGAGCAGCAAGCGCAGAGGAAGGCCGCGAACTGTGCCTGTGTGAGGACCTCCCTTTGGCCTCGAGGCTGCCGGCGTACTGCAGGCTTGGTTGCTTTTTTTTGATGAGCAACGCAGCAGAACCGGGCAACTTTGGCATGAGTGCGAAGTCGCCTCACTTGATCAGGAAGCACGTTCTGGCGCTGTGTCCGCAAGCTTTGGCTCACATTCCGGACATCCTTCCCGGAGCGGCAGCGTTTGTAGGCACACAGCATCATGCTTCCTAGCAGTGCCTAGATCCGACAAAAAGAAACACTTGAGCTCCTTCACAGTTTGCGGGGGTGTGTCGAAGCTGAAGCTAGAAGACGGTCTCTCAGGCCGCGGCAGGAGCTATGGCCAAAGGTTTGTGGGCGCGAGAGGCGGCGCCGGAAACGCCTGAGGAACTCAAGCAGCATGTGAAAGCATGCAAGCTGAAGACCTGTCCCTGCCACACGTTGGGTCACAAGTTTGCTGTGTCGCAATCCCAGTGCCCACTGGTGACTCCAGCTATATTGAAGCTACTACCGCCAGACTCCGTGGAGGCCATCAAGGCAGCTATGCGCGCTCTTGAGGAGCGCACTAGCTGGCTGGACTGGCACATCTCATCTGATGGTCGATGCACGTTTGGCTGTCGCCTGTGTGCTGAGACAGCTGGCTTCCAGTTCACAACGCGTGACCAGTGCAAGCAATCAAAGCTGGAACGCCATGCAGACAATGAGCAGCACAAGAAGAACGTTTGCCGTGCCTTGGGCTTCGAGCCACCGGCAGACTCGGAGGAGAAGCCCGTGGTGGCGCCAAGCAAGGCCACCTTCCAGGAAGTTTTCCAGAGGCTTCAGAAAAACACCTGCGACCGTTTCATGGATGGCGTTGCTGCAGAGGACAAGATAAACAAGATTCAGTTTACGATCGTGGAGACAGCCCGAGCTTCGTGGAGGCGTGCTCTCGCTGAAGCCGTGTCGATTTCCCTTCTTCGAGACGAGCGGCACAAACGAGTTCTGCTTTGCTTCCGATCCGCTGATGCCAGCGGCAACATAACAGAAGGCCGATGCAGCATGTCATTGCCCATGGGTGTTTCGTGTTGCTTGTGACTGCTTGTGCTTTAGTTCGTTGCGATGCTCTGCGATGCTGTGCTGACAGGCGTGGTGGGCCAGCTCAAGATGTCTTTCTCAAGCACAGCGCTTGGGCTTGCAGAGGCTACTCATCGTCTTTTGCGTGAGTTCTGCACACCTGGCACAGGTGTGCCTCGGAGACATCGGGGCGGGGAGATGGTCTGCGACGAGACATTGCTACAGCATGTGAGGGCACATGTGCACAGTACGTGCGTCGACGCGGCCAGCAACGAAGTGTGCGCTACCTTCGACACAGCCGCAGCGTGGGCACTTCCTCTGGAAGGGCTTCCTCCAGGCGAGGCTCTGTTCCCCAACCACCAACTGGTGGTGCGCGACCGGGCGCACGGCTCGCGCAGAATTCTATCTCGTCCCTGGACGGCGGACCGATACCTGAATTCTCTTTTTCAGTCCCTGGTATCTGGACCCTCAAGCCTGGTGCAGCTAATTCGCCACAGCATGGATTTCAGCCAGTGGTACCGCGAAGCGACTGCCCAGTCGCTCAGCAAAGGTAACTCGTTTGCATTGGCTGTGATATGTGCATCGCGAGCCAAGTTATGGCTATCATTTAATTGGCTTCAGCCGGTTATCCTTGCCCTTGCACGCAGGTGTGTCCACTTCCTTCCAAAACCTTCGAGCGGCTCTACATCGCTTCGAGTCTTTAGTGACGCCCTTGTCAAGATTCGTCCTTGACATCGAGTCCATCCTGGCGGTTGCAAACCGCATCATGGAGGAAAGAGCCGGCACACATGCAGCGGCAGTGGCAGCAGACTTCCTAGAAGCTCTGGATGTGGAGCTCCTCGTTTCGTCCGCCATGTTGTCGGACGCCGGTGACGAGGCACTTCAACTGGTGAGGTTTTTTGACAGCGACTCGACAGACGCTGCACAGGCGAACGGCATCATGAAGGCAGGCGGCACGTGTGTCTTGTGTTCGCCGGAAGAATTCTAGCTAGCTGCTTGCAAGCCAGAATGACAATGACCGGAGCGAGCCTAGGCTTACGTGCCCTGCTAGGATTTCCTCAGACGCGTCCATGGGCTCTTCGTCGAGGAGATCGTCCTGGAAGTCGAAGGGCACACGTCCTTCATGCTACAATGGCTGTCCACGGCACACGTCTACACGCTGCGCACAGGGCAGGTGCGATCTATTGGAGGACCTAGACCTGTGACGCGGGCCGTTCTACGAAGATGCCTTGGCCGTATGAAGGCATGGGTTTTCCTTGCTCAGAAAGTACTGGACGCAGAATTCCCGCAATGCGAGGCTGTGCAAGCTCTGGAGGTATTCAACGTCAAAGGTGACGCTGCTACGCCAGACATGATGCAGGTGCCCTTGCGGCGGCTCGCGCAGACATTTGCTTTGGACTCCACACAACTAGCCGCCCAGTGGCTGGATTTCCGAGATCGTGCACGGTATCACGCAGGAATCAAAGAGTGCACAAACTTGCAGGCGTGGCAGGCTGCTCTTCTAGAAACAAGACAGCGGCCCGAAACAAATGCGCGCCATCCCCAGACGGCCTTGGCGAGCGCGCTAGCGCGGTATGCTGCCACCAGCATCTCTGACTCGGGCATCGAGCGCCTCTTCTCGAGATCTGACGCCTGCATCCCACAAAGTGCGCATGGTCTATCTTCTCATGCCGAGAGCATCAGGGTTACTTTGTTGAAGCTGAAGCAGAGCGACTTCTTGGAGCTCGCCCCTGCCTTTTCAGCTACATGGCAACAATGGTTCAGGCACTCCGTCCGACAAGGCCTCTCGGACGCATGATCCGGTTCATTAGTGTTGGTTTTTTTCAGTGCATGTGTCCGCGTGTTAGCCAGCTCGACCATGTCATAAGGTTCCTTTGCACGCATCGACAAGCACCGCCCCAAGCCCACAAAGGAGACGGGCTCCGAAGGCAAGTCAACCCACCAAAGCTTCCTGAAGAAGCGCAAGGCAGCGTTGTCCGTAGCGTTGGAGAAGCAGCCGCAGAATCCCATAGATTGGGATCCGGAGAACCTGCCCATCGGAGCGTGGACTGACGGGCACGAGAAGGAGGCCGAGTTTCAGGATCTGAAAAAACGAAAACGACAGATGGAGGCTCTCTGGGCGGGCAGCCTATTGGAAGAGGAGGTTAGTTTGCAGCTACTTGTGGATGCCTCTGCAGAGCAGAAGAAGATGGACATTTCCAGGAGGAAGCGTCGAAGACAGGAGGCACAAGTGAAGGAGCGGATTTCTGCAGGGGAAGTGCCCAGATGCTGCGACTTCGCTGGGATGACCATTTATGTCCAAGATGCAGATCGGACACCCGGCATGGATGAGCAGATGAGGCGTTGCAACTGGTCCTTCACTGACGATGCGGCCGCGGCCTGCGACGTCTTCCTTCACAACATGGTCGGCATGGGCAGTCTGCCCTCCGTGGTGGTGTGGGCAGCAGCCCTGCAGGGAGCTTGGGTCCTGCTGCCGGAGTGGGCCTGTAAAGATGCGGAACACTACGAGGGCCCGTGCATCAAATTCGTTCCGGCTGTAACTACCAAGAGGTGGTTTTGGATCAGTCCCGCTTTCTCGGGAGAGAGGCCTGATGTAGCCGAGTGCTTGCGGCAGGCTGCGAGTCGTCAAGGCTCGAAATGGACCATGATCGATGATGTGGAGGCTTGGGCCCTGAGGAAACAAGCGGCGCAAGAGAAGCAGAATTCGGCAGCAGTGATTGCTTTGGTCACTGATGAAGAAACCACGCAGTTTCAGGATGTCCCACATGTCTTCGGGGCATCCGGTTTCTTTTCATTTGCATGCAAGGTAGACAGCTCTCGGTCGAGACTTGCCCTAGCCGGACAATAGCAACCGAGGGCCGAAGGCGCCATACTTGGCAACAGCGGGGAAGCTTGGGGAATTGCAAAGAAAAAGAGGCGTGCTGTTCGCTCCTGCTCTGATTTGGAGTGCTTGCTTCGTTTCCCTCGCCAATGCGCCAGGCCGCCCACCGACTGTCCGCGGCGGGCTCAGCCTTTGTCAAGAGGTCTCGGACTGCCTTTCGGAGATGCGTGCCTAGTCCAAGATCCACGTGCAAGTGAATGTCATTGTGCTTGCACGGGTTCCCATGGGCCCAGACTTCTCAGCTTCTTAGCACCGAGCTAGGTTCTATGCGTCATGGCCTCCCGGAAACGTAAGCGAGAGCGGGATGAGGGCTTGCTGCGTTTGGGCACGGACTTCTCTGGCCTGGACACTGTTTGTTATGCTCTACAGGAACTTGGCATCGGCTTCGAACATGAGTTCTCGTGCGAGTCGCAGAAGCATCGTCAGCAATTTATAGCTGCGAATCACAAGCCCAAGATGATGTTCGAGGACATAAACACGAGGGATCAATCAAAAGTTCCATCCGTGGATCTCTACGTATTGGGGCCTGACTGCCAGCCATACAGTAAAGCCGGACGGGGTCTTGGTAGCGCCGACCCTAGAGCATCCAGCCTCCGCAGCGCCCTGGAGTACGTAGCTTGCAGGAAACCTCGAGTCGTGATTTTAGAGAATGTGCCGGATTTGCAGCGGCACGCGGACAGCTTCGAGCTCATCATGTCAGTCCTGCACGAATCTGGTTACCAGGCTTCCTTCAACATTATGAACACTCGTGACTGGGGTGTCCCTCAGTGCCGTCGCCGCTTGTATGTGGTCGCCGTTTATCGAGCTCATTTCAATGACAAAGAGCCCTTCAAATTCCCCGACATACCCAGGCAGGAGCAGCTCACACTCAGGACGTGGCGGCATGGCAGCTTGTTTACTGGCCCGCCGGATAAGGTGGAGCTGCCGACCGGAGACACCGCGAGCAAGAATGTTTGCAAGCACCTGCAGTTCCATTGTGATCGTGGCTTGAATCCATTTGAAATCCCAGTCTGCATTGATGCTCGCTCGAGCGAAGAGTTCTCGCACAGCACGCTGGACCACACGATGACCCTGACTAAGTCTCGATGTGGGGGTTTTGGTCACTGGCTGTCAACAAGGGGCGATTTCCTTTCCTGCACTGATTACTGCCTCCTGACCGGCATGGACCCGGCAAAGCTGCGCTGGCGCAGTGCAGGCTTGACAGATGTGCAGTTCGCCCAGATGCTAGGCAATGCCATGTCACAGAATGTGCTAGAGTTTCTCATTCCACCTGCCTTGAGCGCGGCTGGCTTCATAACAGACAAGCAATGCCGTGCAATGCAGCAAGGATCCGTCAGGAAGTGGTTTGGCCACTGTCGCTAAAAAGAAAGGGCCCTGCAACCGTTATCACCCAATGCCCAACCTAACTGAAACGCCTCCGGAGCCGAGGTCCCGCCGTGCCTTCGTCGATGATAGCCGTTTTGTGCCTGGGGCCCACGGAGTTGCATATTGAAGCCTGCATTGTGAGAGTATGTTGTCTTTTGGAATCCAGGAATTTAGTTGAAACATTTCATCCTTCAAAGGTCTCCGGTCTACACGGGAAGAGCTGGTACCATCTCTAGGCGTGGTCCG